TGCTTCCTCCACGATACTTTTCCTAGCCTCCAGCAAGCTTTGGCCCTGGGACTTCTCTGTATTTAAAGTGCTTGAAAGATTTTTCTTCAACAGATTTGTCTTGTTGCTTTCTGCTCTCATGGAAACTTTTAGCATCTGCAAAGCTATGTGCCCAGGAGTTCCAAGTCTTGATTATGCACTATTGGAAGGAACAGAATATTATAATTCTGCTTTAATTAGCAGCTTTCCACATTGCCGTAAAGGTTGTTAACTTATTTAGCTGTTCATTTGTACATTTAACTCCACTAGTAGAGAAACTCTCTTAAGATATTAAAATGGTATCGGTCCTATATATTTTTTTTTACTATAGTTTAAAGATTTAACTCTGTTTTAAAAAAAACAGACCACCTAGTAGGATTTCTTTTAGGTTGGAAAGAAATGGTTCATGTGCTCTGATGCTGGCTTCTTAACAAGGGGTGTTTTTGAAGTAGCCTTTATTTTGCAATTAGAATATCTTTTTTTTTAACTTAAAGTCAAGAGAAAGCTGTTGAAAAAAAGACAGTTATGCTCAGTGGGACAAATTAGTGAATAGCTCTCTTGTAACAGTTCTTTATTACGGTCTTATGTGAATGCAGGAATTAAGCTAGCTCTCCAAAAGTACTCTATTTAATTGAAATTATACTAAAATTAAATATTTTCACAGTAGAAATAATAAGGAATGATGTTAGCTTACCAGAATCCAAACTGTTATGCAGTGACTTATCCAAATGGATGCTTCCTACAACATCCATGAATTGGTGCTCCAGCTGCAATACCTAATACTAAGGGGTGGTTGCTTACTCATCATCGCAGTTCCTGTATTTCAGCTAAATGGCAAAGGTGAGTTGGAGGAAAAAAAACTGCTGACTAGGAGGAGCTGAGAAACCAGCTGTGTGGCTCTGCTTCATCTTGCAAAATCTCTTTGCCTGTCTAATGAAACTATTGAAGAGTAATGAAAGCTGAAAAAATCAAGGAATCCAGACCTCTGCTTCCACCATGCCTTTGCTTCCTTTCCTGAAGAGGAGAGCAGTGCTGGGCAGTTGTGCTGATTTTTGTTGGTTTCACTTTCTGATATTGAGTAACACTTCTGTTACACTGTGAATGAGAACACAAGAAAAGTTTATGTACAAAATACACATCAATAAAATTATTTCTTGCCTCTTTTTAACAAAACCTCAAATCTCTAAACTGGTAACATCTCTTTAGTACATGCAAATAATTATTACAGATTTTTTTTGCAATATGACCTATGCTTCCTGGAAACTGATTAGTATCATGTGTAATTTGATACCTTTCTACTTTTAAAGGCACTAATGTGAGCTGTAAAAATCAAATTTTGCCAAAATAGAATTCATAATTCATTCCAGAAATATTGTGGTTAATATTTAAATGATACTGTCTTAGAGCTGACTATGTTATTCCAATTCAGCATACCAGCACAAATACTGCAGCTATTATTGTGTAGCTTAAATGAGAAAGTTTTGGTAGCTCCAGATTTAGCAGAACTGTACACTGACTTCAGCAAGGGCTTGACCAGCACTGGGTCTGTGAAAATCTGCCTGTCTTGGATAAGTCATACTAGAGGAGGTGATTCATGTTAAGAATGACTTTGTGCAATATGCAAAGATTCTTTATGGTCTATACTGCTTTTCTTTCAGTGAGGAAAAGTCTCTTCATGGAGTAATTTCTTTTGAGAATTAACATTGGGTGGAGTATTTTGCATGGGCTTGTATATCCGTACATCCTGTTACATTTATTAAGATAAACTTATGTTGGGTTATATAGCAACTTCCCGGTTCATTAGTATTTGCTTTCTCAGCAGCAAACTTAGCATTTTAAATACCCTGTTGTTTAATATACAGCTGAGATAAATATGCTAGTGACACAGTAGGAATCTGTAAATATTTATTGTAAATTCTTAAAGATCTGTATTTTAACAGATGTAGGACAAATGTCTTTCAGTATTTCTGAAGAGCGGAAATAGTGTTTAAAGTTCCCAGTTGTCAATGACAGTTGCAGTAAGTGTATTTCCAAAAAAACATATGGGAATTGTAGAATTGCTCAACTGCTTCAAACACCCATAAAAGTTGAGGAGATTTTTTTCCATTGCTCTCAGCTACTCTTTGATCCATTTAAAAACAGATTATTACAGTGTGTGGAAAATTTAGGGGTGCAGTCAAACTGTTCTTTGCGTGCAAGATCTTTTTGGTGTGTATACTTGATATTCTCTTACCAGCCTAAACTCTTCCTCTGTTGCAAGAACAATCAGTGGCAAGCAAATGTTTATGCAAGCAGTTAATTTCTATATTTTTGTTGGAAAAAAAAAATCTTTAAAAAAGCCCAACAACAGCCTAGTGTTGATTCTAGTATTAGATAAATAGTATATGAGGTATATTTAAAGGAGTGTATTAATTTCGAGCAGTCTTAGTGACTTTATTCATTGAGGGGTAAGTTTCTTAAACATTGTCTGGATTATTTTATTGCTGCTTTGAATTACAAAGATGGAGGAACAGGCATTGAGAAATTCTTTGAATTTAGGTCTGAGCATTTGTATGCTGGGCCACGTGGAACTCTTTCTTGGGTGAAGAAGGATATCAAAGGACTTATTACATTATGACATATATAACAAACTCTCTTGGGAATCGGGCACTCTGCTGTTCTACACCACTCCTGAGAATTTACCTGGCTCATATTGCTCATCCAGTGATGCTTCCACCTCAGATGTCAGATAACGTTGTCAAACACACTGTGCAACTGTGACAGGATTCCTAAAGTACACAATACAATTGTTTATAGAGATTTATAGAAACAAGTAAATATAAAAGTAAATAGGCAGTCAGGTTTATCTCCATTTAATAAGCTTTTTGGATGTTTGTCATCAGCTGTCTGAGCATCTAGTTTCTGCATCCTCAATTTGTGTTCATTGAACAGGACTGGGATTTCAGATGTATATGTCTTTTTTTTTTTTTTAATAGGCCAAACGCATC